TCTACATCAGAGGTCTCCAGAGAGTCAGTTGCCATGGTGACGGGGGGTCCACCGGCTACATCAGAGGTCTCCAGAGAGCCAGTTGCCATGGTTCCATCAGTCATAACGTGGAGTGCCAGAGAGTTTCTTGGTGGTTCAGCAGGGTTACTGTTTGCATTAATTTCCAGGTTTGATGACTCCTTGGTGGAAACTTCCCAGAAGACTGTTGACTCAGGTACATGGAGGTCACTGGTGGCAGCTGTGGAAGCCTCAGGAAAGGACATTTCATTGGCTGTATAGAGGTCTGAGGAAGGTGGGGAGATCTGGTGCCTGGTGCTGTTACCCTTCTCTGGGACCCTTGTTGTCATAGGATTGGGGGTCACTAAGTTGAGGTTTGGGGACTCAGAGAAAGTTGAGACCAAGGAAGCAGAGGACCCTCCCGGTACAGACATCTCCAAAGTGGTTGTGATGTGCAGAGACCCCGGAGTCATCTCTTGAGTCCAGATGCCCCCAAAGAGGAGGAAAAACAGGGTCATTCCCATGGCAGCAGGCATGGACAGGAGTGGAGACCTGAGGGTGGGGAAGTTGGAGAAATACAAACACAGAAAGAGCTGAGGGGGGAGAACCTGGCCAGGCCCTCCCCTTCTGCCCACTTCCCTGCTTAACTGCCAGGCCTAAGTTGTGGTTTAACGGCCTTTTCCACCCTTGCTTTTACTATTCTCAGAAAGAACAAGGGAGCAGACACGGACAGCTCTGCCGACAACTGGGACCTGCAGGCCCCCTCAGGCCTCGGCTGCTTGCACTCCAGCAATGGCCGCCCCTCCCGGCCTTCCATGACCCTATTCAGCCCCGATGGCTCCCGATCCTCTTTTCCCATCATCTACCAGGGTCTTTCCAAGCCACAGCATATTCCCAGGTCCGCAAAGGCCCCTGCCCCCCAGGTCGCACCCCTTACCAGCTCACTTGATGAAGGCACAAGGTTGGGGCCAGGCTGCTCCAACTCCTCCTGAAGCTGGAGCAGGACTGGGCAGATGGGCCCCAGGGGGAAAGGAAGTGGCCCTGGCTCCACCCACCCCACCCCAGCATCCTGCCCCACCCACACTGCTCCCCCAGCTGTCCGTGATGACAGCTCCATCACTTGCTCTTTCTAGGGTCTGAGATGGCGCCAAGGGTTCTGGGGTCTCAGCGGAGGCAAGAGGGGGTTATGGCGGGTGGGGGGATCTGGAATGGGGACTTAGCTGGGAATTGGGATGCGCAAGGGGTGAAGCCGAGATGGAGATGAGGGTCAGAGCTGGGGTGATGCGGAGGTGTGCTTGACAACAAGGGCGTGCAGAGGAGGACATGGGAGGGAAGATGGTTTCCTTTGCATTTGTGGTCCCCAAGCTGTTAGGCCCAAACCCAGGGTAGCACCATTTCCTGCCCCAAGAGTTCCCAGGAAGTACCAGGGCAAGAAGAGGACCCGACTGGCTAGGGGCAGCGAAAGCATTTGCAGGCTGTGTGCAATCCCTGGTGGGCTCGTGATGACTTCTCCAGAAGCTGGGGGGGGGGGGGTCACCACAATGGCCCCCAGCTGTGGGGTGCTTAACTAGACGGAGGCGGTTACTAAGCACTCATATGTTACAATTTTATTTTTGTGGAAGACTAATAAAGATGTAGGACTCTATATGGAAAACAGTCTGGAAAAATATCGATTGAGGCATTAGTCTAGTTTCTTTGGACAGGTGTGAATAGGGTTCTTTATTTTCTTCTTTGGATGGTTGCTGTTTTCTGAATTTCCTCTAGTTTTTTTTTCTCCTCCTCCTTTTTTTGTATGTGTATATATGTTTTCTTCATTTCTTTTTTCTTTCTTTTTATTTTTTTCAGTCGTTAAGCGTCTGCCTTCGGCTCAGGTCATGATCCCAGGTTCCTGGGATGGAGTCCCACATCGGGCTCCCTCTTCAGCAGGAAGCCTGCTTCTCCCTCTCCCACTCCCCCTGCTTGTGTTCCCTCTTTCACTGTGTCTCTCTCTGTCAAATAAATAAATAAAATCTTTAAAATATGTATATTTTATTTATGGGTGCCTGGGTGGCTCAGTTGGTTAAGCGTCTGCCTTCGGCTCAGGTCGTGATCCCAGGGTCCTGGGATCAAGTCCCACATTGGGCTCCCTGCTCCACGGGGATTCTGCTTTTCCCTCTGCTCCTCCCCCCCTTGTTCTCGCAATCTCTCTCTCTCTCTCTCTCAAATAAATAAATAAAATATTTAAATATATATATCTCTTATTTGCGAGATATATATATATTTATTCGAGATATATATATATATTTATATAAATATAAAGAAATATATATTTATTTGCGAGAGAGAACGTGCATGCGCGTGCAAGAGGAAGAGTGGAGGGCGAGGGCGAGAAACCCAAGCAGACCCCATGTTGAGTGCAAGGCCCAACGCAGGGCTTGATCTCACCACCCTGAGATCATGACCTGAGCCAAAATGGTGGGTCTGACGTTCAACCAACTGAGCCACCCAGGCAGCCCTCTTTTTATTTTATTTTATTTTTTCTCTTCTGATTTTTTAAATGATTTTATTTATTTGAGAAAGAGAGTGTGAGCATAAGCAGGGGGGAGCAACAGAGGGAGAGGGAGAAGCAGGCTTCCGCTGAGCGGGGAGCCCGATGTGGGGCTCGATCCCAGGACCCTGGGATCATGACCTGAGTCGAAGGCAGACGCTTAACCGATTGAGCCACCCAGGTGCCCCTACTTTCTTCTGATTTGCAAACTTCGACTTTCTGTGTATGTCTGGTTTGGGTTTTTTTTTTTTTTTTTTTTGCTTTTCTTTTTAAAAAAGCAAAACCGATTTTTATATTGTAAAAGCAATGGTATTTGTACCTGATAAATGATTGAACAGGCTCCTCTCAGGGCCTGGGATTACATCCCGCTCTCAAGCTAACGAGTTAGTCTGATGCAGTTACAGGAGACGCCTGGGGCCGAGACAGAGGAATCCATTACTCACCACAGAGCAAGCAGCAGGAGCATAATGCTTGCATCAGTTCTCCTTTCCCTCAAGTCCCACAGGGGTGATGCAGAGGAGCTTGCCCTGCAGCTGAGGAACACTGAGCTTGGGGCATTTCCCTCTATTTGAGCAAGTGGAAAGCAAGCCTTCTCTTCAGGGAGACATCGCTTCATCCCTCAGAGTTACCACAAACACACTTCAGAGAAATTGCCGAGAGGTAGAGGGGCTGGGGCCTGGCGGTCTCAAAATGCCAGCAGGAGGGTGCAGGGATGCTCAGGGCCTCGGGGGATTGCCTCTCCCGACAGTCAGGACAGTATAAGAGGAAAAGCTCCAAACTCTACCATGGGAGAAGCATTCATAACAAAGTTGTGTTTTGTGTCTGTATTTACGTAAGTATATATGCATGTCATCCATATTAAATCTTTTGTACATCCTGTTCTGTACTTACTGAACAAAAGAAAGAAGGAGAGAAGAAAGAGAGAAAAAGGAAGGAAAAAAACCATTCCATTGTTAGACATTTAAGTTTTTCAACATTTTGCTATGACAAACAGAAAAGTACAAATAATTGGCTGAAAAGTAATTGAAGGTTAAATTTTTTTTAATTCTAAAAAGTCAACAAAAATATTTGTAAGACTACACAAAGATTCCTAATTTCCCAATCTTTAAAAAATTGCTAAGGTGGGGGGAGCTTGGCTGGCTCAGTTAGAGGGGCGTGGGGCTCTTGATCTTGCTGTCGGGGGTTCGAGCCCACGTTGGGTGTAGAGATTACTTAAATAAAAATTTTTAAAGATTTTATTTATTTATTTGACAGAGAGATACATACCGAGAGAGGGAACACAAGCAGGGGGAGTGGGAGAGGGAGAAGCAGGCTTCCCGCAGAGCAGGGAGCCCGATGCAGGGCTCGATCCCAGGACCCCGGGATCATGACCTGAGCCGAAGGCAGACGCTTAACGACTGAGCCACCCAGGCACCCCACTTAAATAAATTTTTAAAAAAACAAGCCAAACCAGAGGTTCTCTGGGCGTGGTACGGCTGCTCCTCACCGCAAGCCCTTTCTACAAGTGAGGAGGCCAAGGACAGAGAGATTATGTAGCCTGGCCTAGAACAGGCCAGGCTCAGTGCCAAGCACTTCCCGTGTACAGAGCATTTGCTCTTCACAACTACTCTGTAAAATGCATATCATTACCCTCAACTTATAGATGAAGAAAGTGAGAAACAAAACAGCTCAGAGACTTGTCAAGGCTCAGACAACCAGCAATTACTAGAGGTGAGCTTCAAAACCAGGTTAGGGCACCTGGGTGGTTCAGTCGGTTGAGCATCTGCCTTCGCTCAGGTCATGATCCCGGGGTCCTGGGATCGAGCCCCGCATCGGGCTCCCTGCTCGGCGGGAAGCCTGCTTCTCCCTCTTCCTCTGCTGCTCTCCTTGGCCTTGAGCTCTCTCTCTCTCTCTTTCTCTCTCAAATAAATGAATAAAATCTTAAAAACAGACAAACAAAACAGATTGGTCTAAGGGCCCAAGGCCCAAGATAAGAATAGCCCAGGTACTACTAGGGTCGGATACTTAATTACTGTGCTACATTTAGAAACATGTTTGTGTATAAATAATTCAAATAATAGAAGGAACGTAGACTTTAAAAAAGACCAATCTGCAGCCACCACATAACTGATTCAAGTAAGAATGAGTGTTAAAACTGTTGAGTAAAATTGGGGCAGCAGGGAAAGGGTGCATATGATATGTTTATAGGCTTAAAGTATCTCCCCACAAGATATGTGTTCATTACCAAGGAAAAGTAGCAGCTTCATGGTTTCGTGGTGGAGAAATCTAGTAGACATCATCTTAACCAAGTGATCAAACATTTTTTACAAATAGATTTATTTTTAATCTCTACAACAGGCTCAAACTCACAACCCTGAGATCGAGAGTCACACTCTACCAACTGAGCCAGCCAAGTGCCCCCAGCAAGTGATCAAACTTAACACCACCAATAGTGGGGCAAGCCGACATCAGGAAATTCCAGATGCACTCAGAAGGACACAGCGTCCTTCTGTGGTAGCTGCAGAAACAATGCAAATCCAAATTGAGGGTCATTTGACAAAATAACCGGCCTGTACTCTTCAAAAATGTCAGTGTCTGGAAGGACAAAGAAAGCCCGGAGACATTCTTCCAGATCTTCGAAGAATAAGGAGATGTGACGACCAAATGCATTACGGATTGGACCCTGGAATGAAGGGGAAACCGCAGAGAGGCGGCCCTGGAATAGCTGGCCACATTTGAATACAGACAGACTGTAGAGCAGATAATGATATTGAATTAACATGAACTTTCCTGAATTTGATAAGTACATTCTGGTTATGAAAGAGAATATCCTAGTTTGCAGAAAATACATGGTGGAAGTTTGTAGGAGTGAAGGTGCACAAGGCAGCAACTTCCTCTTAAAAAGTTCCACACAAGTAATAAAAATAATAATGTAGGAGATAAAAACAAAGCGGACGTGTCAGAGCTTCATGGGTAGTGGAGGATGCTCAGGTTGGTGAGCGCGAGGAGATTTGGGGAGAGTGGGGTGCTCAAAGGAGGCATGGAAGCTCCACCTTCCCACCTTCCATGGAGCTATTCTTGAGTTACATTTTTTTTTTTAAGATTATATTTATTTGTTTGACAGAGAGAGACACAGCAAGAGAGGGAACACAGCAGAGAGAGTGGGAGAGGGAGAAGCGGACTCCCCGCTGAGCAGAGAGCCTGATGTGGGACTCAATCCCAGGACCCCAGGATCATGACCTGAGCCGAAGGCAGATGCTTAACCCACAGAACCACTAGACGCCCCTGAGTTACATTCTTCTAGAAAAAACCAGTATGCTCATATATTTTCACATTTTCCTATTTAAAATTGTACCCTCCCCCTAGCGTGCACTCTCCATTCCCTCCATCCCCACCCCTCCTTTCTCTCCGCAGCACTTCACACCTTCTCATTTGCTGTATCTACTTTCTTATCTTGTTTCTGTCTTTCTGCCCCCAGAACGTAAGCTCCGTGGTGGGACAAGCGTGTCT